TTTGTGGATGGATTGTGCAGCTGCTCCTTGGAAACAAAACAAGTGTAATGGATCAAATCAAATGTTTCTGTTGCTTCTATATATGAGGTGAAGCAATTATAAGACCCTTTGTGCAGGGAGTAAATTATATTAATTGAGACTGCAGCTGAGGGGAAAGTACCCACTCACCTGCTTCTGAATGTAATTTACCTTGTTGGAGCCCTTTCTGACATACCTTGTTTCGACAAGTTTCATTCACTTTCATTTCAATGTAACGCTGCCACCCAGAACTATTATTTAAGCACTGCATGTGTACCAATTCATTTTCACTAGCCGAGATCACAAAAGCAGAGAAATCATCTTGATCATGATGAAGTCATCCTGCTATCATGAGAGAGGAGGGGACTATTGTTATGAGAGAATTGACATTTGTACACTACCATTCAAAAGTGTACATTCCTAAAAAAACATTTGACCATTTTAATCCTTAAAAAATATATAACGGTTTCCAAAAAATATTCAGCAGCACAGCTGTTTTCAGCATTGATAATAATACAATTTTTGTTCTTGAGCACCAAATAAGCATATTAGAATGATTTCTGAAGAATCATAAATGACGATTGGAGTAATGATGCTGACAATTCAGCTTTTCCATCACAGGAATAAATTATGATTTAAAATATATTAAAATAAAAACAGTTATTTTAAATTGTAATAATGTTTCACAATAGTACTATTTTTACTGTAAACAAATGCAGCCTTAATAAGCACTAGAGACTTCTTTCAAATTTGAACAGTGGTATACGTATGCAAGTATTTTCTTCAACATACACAATTGATATGTTATTAAATAATTTAATATGAAATATTCTGTAAAAAAAATCATGTTATGATAAAAAAAACTGTCAACTGTCATTGTCTGTATAATTAACTGACAGAACAATAATTTACTACCCTACTTCAACTTGAACCTGGCCTTAAAATACATCCAAAAAACATATTATACAGTATTTTACAATAAAATTTCATGCATTTGCTATTAAATCAAATAGAATTTGTCACCAATCACCATATATGGAAAGCTTACCTACCCAATTCATAGGTTTCTCTTGTAAAAAGAACTCTTTTATTTTAATACTAAAAAACAATAAAAAACATGTTTTGTTTTGGTTTTCAGTGCAAGTATTGTCTCACTCATCCTGTGAATCGGTTGTATTCCTTTTGGTGTGATTTCAAGCTAAACTCATTGTCAACTGCACAGTTGTCATTTTTAAGATCAATGTGGTAGCCATCTGTCAATCAGCTGTCAAAACAGAAACATCTCATATTTTCCCTGGCATCTTTCGTTCGAATTTTGGCACAGTATTGTAACATTTATCAGTTCCCCAAATCATCTCAGTTCATCTCTGTCAGAGAAAAAAAGAAGGAAAAAAATATAATCAAGCATACAAGGCGCCTTCGCCAAGCTGCTAGCTGTTGCTGGCCTACTTCCTAAAAATAGCATCTAATACCAAGGCAGATTTGAAGACTTTTACTGTACTGCTCTCTCTCTTTCTTTTTCTCTTTCTCTCTCACCCTTTCTGGCACCCCCAACCTCCACTTTCTCTCTTTGTCTCCCGTTCTGTCTGATATCTCTCTCTCCTCACACCCTCCTTTATTAGTGGGCACATTGAACGTGTTGTTTAGCTATTTATATCAACTGTGACATATAAGTCTATTAAAGAAATTCTGTAGAGTATTCACATATGTATTATTGTGTGAATTTAAATGTGTTTCTAACGACATGCATGCACATAAATTAAATAATAAAATGTGAAAAATGCAGTTTAAAACACATTTCAAGGAATTACTCTATTATAGCACATTGTTTACAGTTTGACTCACATACTGTATGCTGCTTTCACACAAATAATTAAACCTTTCACTTACAGCATTATATGCTCATTAATGCTTATTAAATCTCTCTTTCTCTCACACCGCAGCACTGAAGAAATTAATATGGAAGTAGTGTCACGGAAATGTTATACACTTAATAGTAGAAGGTAAAACTCTCCTTCTTCCTATAGTGTCTGCCTCAGACAGCACATCCATGGACCACCCACTGTCCGTTCACTAACCGTCTGATGCATATTGCACACAAAACTGGAATGCACTTTCTTGATCTAGTAAGCTCGTATCTGATTGGCTGACATGGCTGCAATTTTCAAAAACAGAGCAACAGTTGGGTTCCGGAAGTAAAAATCCCATTCATTTTCTCTATAGGGGAATTAGCCCACATTATTTCAACTTTTTTTTTTTTTAATAGTCATATATAACAGTAGAATTCCTCATGAAAAACTACATAACCATGGTTTCAAAAATCCACCAAGCAGTGAATCAGAGGGAGAAAATTGCAGCAAAAGAACTCGCCTAGGTCCATGAAGCACTGTGAATAATGCAAGTCAGTATTTTTTATTTACATTTTTTTTTTTATTTCTCTTTAATTTGATTTTCACTTGCAGATTGTAGTTCTTTCCTTCATTAAAGCCGTTAAGTACAGTCTTTTCTATTTTTGTAATTTTCAGATACATTTTTGTAATGTTGTGAATCCCCATGTAGGTGATTGGTTTGGTTCATGACTTATAACTATTTAATTAAGACTTTTTAAAAATCCCTGTGGGAGAAATACTTCCGGAACCAAGGTCACTGAGTTAATTTTTTTATTAGTCTGCTTGGAAAAAGTGTTGTGCTTATAAGGTACCAAACTGTTGCAACAGCCACTTAAGAAGAACTAATCAAACTGTCATTGATTTTCCTTTGAGGCACTTATTAGAAGTAAAGCTTTGACTCATCTTAACCTAAACTGGCTGATTTCAAAATAGCCTACTCTTACTATTTCTGCCATCTTTATATGCCAAAAATAAGAGTGGTATGCTATTCTGAGTAATATGTACTTCCTGTTGGGGTCCTGATTAACAACATTTTCAAGAGATGTGAGTCATTCCAAAGGACTCTATGGTGACAAAAAATGTACTTGATATCTTATGATATTTCACCTTTGATTATGAGCATGAATTATCAGAAATTAAAACATCTTTTGAATTGATACTTTGATGTTTTTGGACATAATTAGTGTCCTTTGCTGTAATGAACATATAAGAGAAATGACCGACCTTGTGTTTTGAGGACAGGAGAATTGCATGTCATGTCAGCTGCCCACATACAACCAGATACGAAATACTCAAAATTCTCAAATTGTTTGTCAGCCAACTTACTCCCTCAGTTTATCTAAAGCACACGCTTTTTTACATGGAGAAGGAGAATCTTTGCCGTAGTCTTTTGGCCATGGGCGTCTTATGCAGCCTAATCCAGCGGCAGTATGTGAATGTGTGTGTCTGTGTGTGTGTGTGTGTGTGTGTCTGTGTGTGTGTGTCTATGTGTGTGTGTGAGGAGAGGATTAGAGCCAGCTGAATCACTGTGTGTGGGAGTGTAAATATCCTGAAAGAGGAGTGAGTAGTGGCTGCATACAGGACCACAGCCCCTCCCAGCATCTCCCTTTTCACTCCTCTTCCTGCTGCAGACCCCCAAAACATGTCTGTGAGCACATCTCTCAATGAATCTCCGCATCTGACGCTGAGGAGCAGTGAGAGAGATGTGCTGAGGGGAGAGGTTTGTTTTGGTTGAGTCACTGTAACAATGAAAGTCTCTCAGTCACAACCCCCTTAGAAGGGTATAGTTCCCGGCGGGTATTCACTACTCGAGGACCACACTCAAAGAAAGCACAAACATCTGTGCATGTTCAAAAGTAAGAATGACTGTATTGATAATGCTTCAACATTCTGCTTTGGGTTTGCTCTCATCCCCCACCCTAAGTGTTAAAAAGCAAGCAATTAATATAGCATAAACTGCTAGATAATTTTAGCCTTAGGTGTTTTATCCAAAAATGTTATTACAGTTTGAAAATCTCCTTTTGACTAATAGAATGTGCTGCAGCGTCATTGTAATATTTGCATACTGAACTGTGATTGATCTTCTTATTCTTTCTATTTGCATATCGAGTTAATTGATATTCCCTTCCTGCATAGAGAAACCCTCTATTTTGACAATATTTTACAACCAAATATGCTTGAGAACTGCTTTTACTGATTTAGTCCGATTGATTACAAAAATGTTTAAAAATAATACAGATCAGACTCAAAAGAATGATTCATTCATGAATCAGACATCGCTGCCATATTAGACCACCTTGATTTAACCTCACTGACTGTGTTTACATTTGCTCTGATTATGATAAATACCCTGATGTGTCATGCAAATGCCTTTTTTTGTTAAAGGTCATACACTCTTAAGCAAAATCTGCATACATAGATCAGAATGTGAAAATCTGTATTGTTAGAATGCATTTGTATTGTAAATATGCACGTTTTGTCATATCTATATATCTATATATAGTAATAAATAGAATAAATAGATATTATATATATATTTATATATATTCTCTCTCTCTGTATATATATATATATATATATATATATATAGCTTATAGAATATATAGATATTTATATGAAATATAATTTTTGTGACATCAAACCTAAACTTGCCACTTGAACACTATTGTGCTTCTTTGTGGTATTTCCTTCAGGAAATGCAGATACTTTTGTTTTGTTTTTTGGTACAAGTTTTTCTTCTTTTGTATTCGCTTTAATTACAAACCGAAGATCCAGCATTGCCGAAACTTTCACTAGCTAATTAACTCATGTTCAGAAAGTGCGTTTTTAAAAGTAAAAAAAGTAATTATGTTGTTTATGAGATTGCCTGCAGATCTTGTTATTGGCCATCAGCGCAGAACTCTATAAATGGAGCAGGTAGAACTAATAAGATGTGAAACGATGCCCACTGGAATGCACAAGGACTCGGTGTGTGACAGGCTGTAGGCAGCAGGTGAATTTGCACTGGAGGAGGAGGAGGGGGGCAAGAATAGCACCGGCGTTGGCGTACAGGCGGCCACCGAACCGTTATGCTGTATGCTGGCGTATTTTCAGTAAGGTCAACAAACATGATAAATGTCCATGTATATATATATGAGGCGGTGCATGCGGCTGATATGAGGTTTGGTATTCCATGCAGCAGCCTCCCACGCGCCGCTACCGCCCACGCCAGGATCTGCGTCACGCAGGCGCGTGGGAGTGAGAGAGCAATGTAGCAAGCGCGGAATATCCCAATTCTGGCAGTAGGGGAGAGCGCGGAAACCAACTAGTTTGAGAGTCCCTCCGTAGTTCAAACTAGAGTGTGTGCGAGTTAATTCAATAACAGAGCCGAAGGACGCGTTGCTTACCCGCCGAACGCGCGTCACCTCACTGGACATTGGACAGTGAAGCGTCGCGTAACTCAACGGAGCGTCATATTTCAGAATTTAATAATCATAAAACCAGACGCCGCTTTTGGAAGAGTTTTGTTGGAAAAAGACAAAGAAAACCAAAAGGTACGTTTTTTCCAGTACTTTCGTGCAGTCTCGCTTGCAAATGCAGTGGAGCGCTGAATTCTTGTATTGTGTGCAACTTTCCTGCGTGTTTTTGTGATCCATGTGCGCGCGGTGCAGACCGGACAGCTCTCGGTACCGTGTGAGAATGCGCCCCCGTGGGCGTCTGGTCGTCGGCAGCTGTGTGTGTACAGCATCCTTAGCGTTTCTTCACTTTCAGTCAGTTTTCCCAATGCTTTCCACTGTGCAATGCCTTTAGTATGTGTGGATTTCATACGCTGATATTTTTTCCCAAGGAATTTCAAGAGCTAGCTATAGGGTATTATATGAAATGTTATTTGAAATATTCAATAATCTATATTTATAGCTATTGATTTGTTTATATGTAGATAAAAAAGTAATGTATGATAATAATGATAAAATTTAATCTAATTGTTTCAAGTTCTCCAATTTTTATATAGACTATTGTAATTATTATTATATATTACAGTATTGTAAAATAATATTGAATATAGCATTCCCGGTGAAGAAAAAAATATTGTCTTGTAGCTAATCTAATTGCTTATTTTTGAGCAATAATTGGCACTGTCCAAAATTTGTTGTGATTGTTGTGACAACTGGTTTGGTAAAAAAAAAATGGTCTAAAGATGATCTGCCATTTTTGGGTGAAAATTTGATGAACGGTGTGGGAAAAGTACAATTTCCATGAAGTTTTAAAATGGTGGGCAAACAATGTGGCTGATCATGGCAAAACAAACATTAAGACAAAAACTTTTTTTTTTCTTGAAAAATATTTGTACGTTTAAGAGGATTGTGCAGATGGCACATATCAAATTTCACCTTGTTATGCTGAATTGTTAGTCAAATAAAGCATTTTATGTGTAATATTAAAATAACCGATGCATAATGTACAGCTGAGATAGACAAATATCGTATCTCTCAATCCTAAAGACTTTAAATTATTTTAAACCATGTTATTTATAGTTATAAGCAATGATATCATATTCATATTTCATGATTAGTAGATGGCTCCAAACTGTTTACTTTATTTCTACAGCCCAAATTGAACAAATTTCCTTCTAGCAGTCCTGCCATAGTCTGCAATGACAGAATAATAACAATCTGATAAGTGTCTATAATAAAACTACCTTTGATGCTTGGCTCCTAATAATAATATATTGCTGTTCTGCCAGAGATGGTTTATTATTGTTCCCATAAACATTAGTAATAGTTAGTGATGCCTCATATTTGGTTTATCATTTGAATAATAAATTGGAATGAGGTAATGGGAATTTCTGTTTTGAAATTTTGCTTGTGTCCTGTGAATTTATGACTCATTGTTTACCACTTCATTGTACACACTGGGCCCCCAAAATACCGATTCAGATGTTACTAATATTACATGCAAAGTGGTGAACTTTTATCATGCCTATTCTCCTTCTCTGCTTTCCTCACCGATATTTTCCCCTGTTATTTTCGAAAGACCCTATGACGAATCGTACATTATTTGGGTTAAAGCCACTGCCACCTAAATGAGTGTGTTTGCACCCATCTTTTGAAGTGCTTTGAGAAAGATTATCAAAGTTGAACTTGAGTTGGTGGTCCTCATAAAGAAGCAGTTGAAAGGTGATGTTGAAGACATTTATATCTATGATTGTGGCAAGTTATTTTACATCTTGTAATATTTGTAATTAATCACATACCAATTTTTGTTAAAAGAATAGTTGACTCAAAAATGGAAATGTTCATCCTCATTTCATTCGATTTTCTTTCTTCTATGGAGCATAAAAGGAGAAGTGTACAGGGTATGAGAATATTGCTGCTGTTTTCTATAAAGTGAAAGTGAATGGTGACCAGAGGCTGACCAATATACTATTCCGAGTCATCTGAACTCATGTAATAGCAGAACTGACCAACATTCAAGTTGACAGACATTTCTCACCATTCAGTTTTATAGTGTGGACAAAAGCAGCATGAACATTCTTCTAAACATCTCTTTTGGTGTTCCACGGTAGAAAGTAAGTCATGCAGGTTTGAAACAACATGAGGGTGAGTAAATGATGACAGAAGTTAGTTTTTTGCATGAACTATTCCTTTAAGAGATACCCCACTTCTTATGTACACACAAATGATTCCTTTTCTTGTGTAGTCATCCACTTAAGAAGTGAATCGATTGTGTTCCTCTTGTAGTGCCTTATGTTCCTTTCACAAAAACAGCCCTTGTAGCTTTTATATGGAGAGCAGCTGTTCCACAAACATTTAGTCTGATGCACAGGACTGATAGGTTGCCTTTCAAGAGAAGCTCCTTTTCGATAGATTCATCGCACTATTTAGGACAGGTCTAGATGTGAATCCATTATTCATTTAGATTGATAAGAAGCTGCTGTTGGGCAACACGAGTACGTGCTGTGAGTGCTCTCAGCGTGTTGCGTGAAGCCCTGGCCTTAGATCTCCAGCATTAGGAAGCCAGCATGCTGCGGGGAGAGAGAGCTTTGGATAAATTGCTGCCTAAGTGCCATCCATGCTGATACTGAATTGGTTTCAACAAGGCACCCTTCACTTGGGTCTAGGCCTCAGTCATCCATTAGAGTGGCGGATCACTCTGCTGTGCAGTGGGGTGTCCTCATTAGACTCCATACACTCGCTCATCAGTACTCACTATCAGCCTCGCTGTGTTACTGTTCTTACTCACCTCTAGTACACTAACAGTCATGATGATTTAGCAGCGTCTGTCATCTTTTACTGCCACTGAAAGAACAATAATTGAGGTCTAGCATTCACATTGGAATTGTTCTTCATTTTTAAAACTGGCTATTTTACTTTACTTTTTTAATACTTTATATATTTTTAACTTTCTTATTTTTAAATTGTTTACTTTATTTATTTAATCCTAAAGTATGTGAGTGTAGTATAGAAATGCCATAAAAGTTCTGCAACTTTTGTGCGTTTTCTTTTTCTTTTTTGCTGTTATAGGTTTGTTGTTGTAGTGTCTCCGAAAGCAGTTTCTGTCTTTATACTTCATTGCAGGCAGAGAAAAGTGCAAATGCAGATGTGTATGTCAGTGCAAGTTTGTTTGGAAATTTAGGGTAACAGGAAAATATTTTATAAGCAGATTCATTTCTAAAAAAAAAAAAAAACAGGTAGTTTGTATTTAATGTAAAATGCTGTTTTCTGATGACGTTGAAACAATATAAGTTTCTTGATCTATCTCTAGGGGTCAGAATAGTCTCAGAAAGAATATATTCACAAAATATGATTCACAAATGAGTAACCTAATTCTTATTCACAAAATATGATTCACCACTTTAAAAATTAAAAGGCTTGTTTGGAGATCTTCAGACTGTCACGCTGGAGGAACCCTCTGGAGAACCTCTAGGCATCATTTTGAACGTGCCTCAATTATCATGATGTGTACTCAATGAAGTTCAATATATAATTTAAGTGTCTCTCAATGCCTTTCCCTTGTGATGGGGGAAGGAACCATTGACAGTCTTTGGAGTTCTTGTAGGAACTTATTAGATCCTTTTGTAGGTTTCACAGGTTCCTTGAGGTTCTCCACAGTGTTCTGCCACAGATCTAAGGATAGGGCTGGGCGATATAGCTAAAAAATTTATCAACGATATAATGTTTCATATCATTCGGTATCGATAATTATTGACATTTTTTATAACCTTTTTTAAAACAGAGAGCAATAGAATTTTTTTATTTAACCACTGTATTTTTAAATTAGAGAGACGCATTGAAAAGGAATAAACATCCACAAATTAGTGACATGTTTTCTAAAAGTTTAAACTGTTTTAACTTTGCATGGCTTTCTATACTCTTCTGTGTGACTCGCGCGAGTGCAGCAGTCATATTTGTCCGTCTAAAAATGCGCGGATTATGCGTTCTGTGTGAATGGCTTGGTTTCGGTTTTAACCCATTCAAGATCTTCTCCGCATTGAGCTTCTATATTTCCCTAATATTTTGAATGAATAACCCAGCAGTGGCGCGTCTCGTGGGCTAGACTAACAAAACATTAAACTACAACGTCCCTTACATCATCATCACCGCATCTCGCGCGCCACTGATGACGCTCCCTGATGCACACCTAACATTCAAATGCAAATGTTTATTTTAAATTCGACTAATATTCATTCTTTATTCACAATCTCCTCATCACAGGCAGGCACAGCACTCATTTCAGCATGTTTGTGTTTGTGTGTGCTGTCTGCGTCACTCATAGCACGTGCCTATATCGTGCGCTATATCGAACATTTTTTCTATCATTATCGAAGAAGGTGTACCGTCGATAAATACCGATACCGTTTTATCGCCCAGGCCTATCTGAGGAACCTTTCATTTCTGCCTTGATCTTTTCATTTTTACTGTGACAAAAGAATAGACAAATTCACAAACTATGACAAATCCGTAATCTAATTGACATTCACATAATATCATTCAAATATGGAAAACCTCATTCATAAGTACACAATTGTGCTTTGAATGATTGAATGATTATTCATGTGCATTGTCTATGCATTTGTAAATCATCACTATAAATATGCAACGATCCACAAATGAGTGGCGATTTGCAAATGCAGATTCAAAATATAAACATTTCCCCACCAAATCTCAGATATTTCTGACTGTCATGTTTTGCATATCATTTCTAAAACACATCTAAAATAAGCAAATGAGCTCGGTTACCACATTGGTATGCATTACAGTCACTGACAAAGTTTGCAGAGAGCATTAAGTGTGTGTGCGCGTGTACGTTTGTCGTGCATTCATAATCCCTGGATCCTTCTAAGGAAGAAGTGGGTGAATTAATAAAATGCAGAGCACTATCTTCTTAGCACACACACCTACCGTCCCACTCCCACACGGCTTCATTACCCCACCTCCCTCCCCTGCAGCCAATCTCGCTTTTATCTGTGCTGCTGTGGATCCAGATCCTGACAGTGGCAGCTGTAGAAGCCAGATCCCGGCAGAAACAAATGAGGCCTGTGCTGAGAGAGCCCACCTACGCGTGTTGCAGAGGTGGAGTGTGGTATGTGACTCTCCCAGCAGCCCAGGAGCCTGACAGGCGCTCTCTTATAGTCGCCACTCTTGGATCCAGCCACACATTTCTCTTCCTCCCCCTGCTGTGGCAACCAGTGTCCTCTGCTTCAAGCACTTTTGCTTTGTTTCCTGTAATTGCTTATTTAGTTCCTTCCTTTGTTCAGGTATGGCAGCGACTTTACCCAGAACCCTTGGGGAGTTGCAGCTCTACCGCATCCTTCAGAGGGCCAACCTGCTGTGCTACTATGACGCCTTCATCCAGCAGGGCGGCGACGACGTTCAGCAGCTCTGCGAGGCCGGCGAGGACGAGTTTCTCGAGATCATGGCGCTCGTAGGCATGGCCAGCAAGCCACTGCATGTCAGACGCCTACAGAAAGCTCTGCGCGATTGGGTCACAAACCCTGCCCTGTTCAATCAGCCCCTCACGTCCCTTCCCGTCTGCAGCATTCCCGTCTACAAGCTGCCCGAAGGGTCGCCCACATTGTTGCCTGGGAATGGCGCCCGTGGAGACACCCAAGTCAAAGTGCCCAAGTGTTTGGCAGCTGCTTGCGTGGATCCTGGAAAAGGAGAATCGGGCAACGGGAACTCTTCTGCCACTGTTTCGCCCCTTCAGAGTGGCAGCGAGCCACGTTTTTGGGCCGGGCACGGCACGGAGAGCGAGCACAGCCTGTCCCCGGCAGAACTGGGCTCTCCGTCTTCCCCTCGGGACGGCCTGGAGGCACTAGACGCGGCTGCTATTCAGTCCGTGGCAGAGTGCGTAGAAAGAATCGCTCAGACTTTGCCCAAGAGTGACCCCGGAGAGGTTAAAGAACTGTTGAAGGGAAATAAGAAGCTTGCCAAGATGATCAGCCACATCTTCGACATGAGCGACGAGGATCCGCACAGGGAAGAGGAAATCCGCAAGTATAGCGCCATATATGGGAGATTTGACTCAAAAAGAAAGGATGGGAAGCATCTGACTCTGCACGAGGTGCGTTTTACGGGGCTTTTGCATCTTTGGGTGCTGTTGGGGTTTAAATGTATCATGCACTTCCAAGCGTACCCTTGTTGAAAAAACAAGCAAATGCTGGTTAGGTATGTTTTGAAACATGGCAGCTGGTTTAAGCTGGTCCTTAGTTGACTCATGATCTGGTTTAAGCTGGTCCTGAGCTGGTTATAAGCTGGTTATGAGCTGGTCATGAGCTGGTCCTGAGCTGGAGCTAGTTGCTTAGGACCAGCTTAAACCAGCTCAGGACCAGCTTAAACCAGCTCAAACCAGCTGCCATGCTTCAAAACATACCTAACCAGCATTTGCTTGTTTTTTCAACAGGGTAGCTGTACTTCCAGTAAGAAATGATTCAAAAAGTACTTCATCGGTTAATTGGCTGCACCAGAAATATAATGCAGAGGTGTTGCTTGCTTGTGGGACTGGTTTAATTCTTTGCACATAACAATATGTATTATTTATTATCAAAGTAATAATAAAAATCTCCTTTGTTTTTACAAAGCTGACGGTGAATGAGGCTGCAGCACAGCTATGTATGAAGGAGGTGGCATTGCTGACTCGCAGAGATGAGCTTTTCGGACTGGCCCGTCAGGTCTCCCGAGAGGTCACCTACAAATACACCTACAGAACCAGCAAGTAAGAACTTTGAGGTCATTTCCCAAACATGAAACACCATGGTTGACTATTTTTGGACCTTTGGTTAAAACTGAAACATTCAATTTTTCAGTTTTAAAATAATTTCTCATATCCTAGTTCATTATGCACAGACAAATTTCCCTAAAAAGTGTTAACACTGTGTCTTTGTAACATTGTAGAAACATTGCACTGTTTGAGTAGCTCGGGTAACCAACAGCATAAGTTTGGGGCAGGATTGTCCGCTTGTCAGACCATTTCCACAGATGCAGGCCTTCAATATGAGTGTCAGTATCTCGGTTTAAAACATTTTACCATTGTTTAAATCATAAAATTACAAAGATTTCCTGCCTAAATCAGCGCATAAATTCCTGATAAACACAAAATATCCTGCAGATTCCACCTCGTTAGTATGAAGAACGCACAATGTAGAGGAGTTGTTTGTTTTAATGGATTTAAATTCTCTGCATGCATCACTGTTTACACCCCGTAAGTAACTAGAGTAATCATTCATGATGTTTAGCCTTTAAGCCAAGAAAGAGATAGCTCATGCTAATGCATTGTGAGCAGCTCAGGATCTGCTCTCTGGTGGTCTGCTTAGAGCCGAGCCGAGATATCAAAGTCGGCTTTGTGCGTGCCATTTGTGTTGAGGTATGAAGTGCTGCACTGAGGTCTACGGAGAGATGAGAACACTCCCACTCCTTTGCATCTAAAGGCACACAGGCCTTATCAGACACTCAAAACCTGCCATCCAAAGAGACCGTGCAGGTGTTTCCTGGATTGCCAGGCTTGCGTGTCAGTGGATGGAAAATTCCTTTTGGCGTTACATAATTGCAGTCACTCATTCAAAACTTGAAAGATTGCATCACAGTCGTGGACTGGGTATTGCGAAAGTTATCTAGGCCAAGTTTTCTTACAATGCTTCTTACGTCATAATGAAATTTGCCAAGGGCACTCCTAAATTATAGGTTGCAGGTGAAAAGCTAGTATTACTAAAGCAAATATTAGTATTTTAAGGCCAGGGTTTTCAAGCAGGGGTCTATGAAACTATTGAAGGGGGTCCATGCAGAAGATAATAAAACATTTCCAACTATTTTAATAAGCATAATTAATGATTGGGGGGGGGTTTGAAAACCCTTGTTTTAAGGTATTCTTTTTAAAAATAAAAATATCAGCATTTTGGGGAAAGTAATTGTAATAACATGTCCACGATGGTAGACTATTTTCTCCTAGAGACAGACAAACAAAATCTAATTGCCTACCCTTACATATTCAAAAGTTTGGTGTCATAAGTAAGATTAAAAAAAAAAAGTATCTTATGCTCACCAAGGCTGAATTTATTTGAATCAAAAATATAGCAAAACAGTATTAGTGTGAAATATTATTTCAATTTAAAAGAACTGTTTTCTATTTTAATGCATTTTAAAATGTAATTTGTTTCTGTGATATCAAAGCTGAATTTTCAGCAGCCATTACTCCAGTCTTCAGTGATTCTTCTGAAATCATTTTAATATGCTGATTTGTTTCTCTTAATATAATAAATGTTGAAAACAGCTGTGCTGCTTAATATTTTGGTGGAAACCAAGATACTTTTTTTTTCAGGATTCTTTGATGAATGGAAAGTTCAAAAGAACAGCATTTATTTGCAATAGAAAACTTTAGCATTATAAATATATTAACTTTTTGTCTATTTAAAGCATCCTTGCTGGAAAAGTATTATTTTCTTTAAAAAAAAAAAAAAATCTTACCCGTCACCCAAGAGAATTAAAACTGAGGTGAGTAAAATTACTTTGTGATTTCTCCAACCTGAGCTCCAAATAATCTGTCTGTAGCTTTCAACACGATTTCTCAAGTCATTTTGTTATTAATGTGCGCTACGGCTCTAACACCGATATGCGAGGAAACGTAGGAGGCTGGATTGACACTGGGTGGGTCCAGTGGCTTTTTGTTTGCATAGCTGCCTGTCAGCATACTGAACTGTGTGGGAGGGCTTTGCTGGAGCATGCGGGGTAGCTCCATCAGGATTGCATGTCATGGTGTAGGGGAAAGGTCAAAGTTCAGCCTGGAGAAGTTACAAAGGATCAATGTTCGCAAGCCCACTCCCTCGATCACACCTTAAATCCATATTTATCCGGCCCACGGTCATTATTTTTCCATAACCTACATATCCATGATCAGTCTGCCCTATGCTTAGCTGCACACATAGTGATCTTATTGATGTGGTTTGCTGAAGAGGCCTTTGTGCTCAATGGCAGCTGTCCTTTCATGGCTCTCTAGTGACACATTTGATCACTGTCCAGTTGTTAGATCTACTGGAAACTTCTGACATCCCACATCAATGCTTGTGGGCTGGGCTGGTGTCTGAAGAAGAGCAGGTGTTTGCCCGCTTAACCTCTGCCCTGGTTTCACTCCGCGTACGGGCACAGACATGTGACCACTTCGGAAAATCAGTGGTTTCTACCCACTCTACATCTAAGGAGAAATGAGTCCTTTATCATTATCAGACAGCTGCAAATTACCAAGTGCCTTCCTTTTTCCCCTAATTTGCATTGTTACTCAGTTAATAATCATATTTTACCTCACTTTTACGTCATGTTCCCACACTAGTCATGTGAATAAACACTAGCACCAGAGAAGCTACTTTAAAACTGTAGCTTGTACACCACCGTTCATAAGTTTGGGGTCAGTAAGATTTTTTTTTTTTAATGTTTTTGAAAGTCTTTTTCAACTGTTGTGATTCTTAATAATTTTGTGGAAACTGTGATACATTTTTTCCAGATTCTTTGATGCATAGAAAGTAGAAAAAAAAAAAAACTGACCACAAAGGTAGTGTAGATACTCTAGTCAATGACGCAACAAGCTAATAAAAAGCTCGGTTTTTGTAATCAAAGCCAAATTTATCTAACACAAAATCAATGAAGATCTCAGTTTGGGTTACAGCATTAAACTAACTTAAATATGTTTGCACTAAATACAACAAAAGAAAATATAGAAAACACCCTAATTTGTAGTTAAAACAAGCAATGAAAGGCAATATTTAAGAAAATATTGCGCTATGAAAAAAATGTATAAAGGATGTTAACTTTCTTTTGGCAGCCATATTTAGTGTACGGCACGAGAATGTTGAATGTACTATAAGCATATTTATCAACAGTCTTTTGCAATAGACATTTTATGTGAAGCAACATACAATAATGGAGTGAATTACTCACCCATTAAAAAAAGACATCTGCAAGTTCAACAAGCAGTGACAGGCACCCAAACAGCACTTTCTATTCAGCAAATCCAGATCATTTAAGCAGGTTCTAGCTACATTTTTTTTTTTTTTTTTTTTTCATGTAAATTCTGTTTGGGTATAAACGTGATGCCTCATGTCATGCTGATTAAAGTTGCCATAATTCTAAATGGCACATTCATGTTAACCATATTATAATTTAAGAAACAAATTATTGGAATTTAGTGAGGTAGAAATCACTTTATTTTCTTTATAGAGCCACAGATTGGTCACACATCCATTCCACCCACAAACATAACTGAACAAACTGATTCATGGAACGTAATCTGAATTTCCTGCAACGTTTAAGAAAGAAAAAGTATATTTTGTCACATTTTTTAGCAGCATACCATTTGGTCAAACTACTTGAATCTGTGAATAATTTTTTTAATGAACAAATTGATTCACTAAACTGAATCTGACTTCTGCTTTGTTAAGAGAGAAAGGTTATATCTTGTCACATACTGTTTGGTCAAACCACTCAAATCATTTAATTAGTTTTTTTTTAACTGATTCACTAAACTGAATCTGACTTTCCTGCTATGCTTAAGAAAGAGATGGTATATTTTGTCACATTTTTACCAACATACCGTTTTTTTTCAAGCTACTTGAATTGGTGAATGATTTACTCATTCATCATACATTTAAAAGAGAGGGTATATTTTGTCACATTCTTTTAGCAATTTACCAATTGGCCAAGCTACCCCACCACTTTTTTTTGCAAAAATAACTTGTTTGTGCACAAAGCAAGCTGAACTTTTGTCTATACCACTGAAAATTCTAGTCAAGTTAGTGTCTTGCTGTTTCATGCTTATTACATTGTTTTTGCATTTTTGATGCAGTTAACTTGTACCCAACTCACTCTAGAATGGATTTTCCATGTTTAACCATTTCAAAGCGCGTGACAGTTAATAGCATGTGTGTCTGAACTGCAGAAAAAAGCATAAACTTCCCCTCCCCCTCTCGCTGTCCCTGTCTGGCCTCGACTCTGCCCACATTACACTCCCATCCACACCAGTGAGAATAAGCCACCCGCCCACATGCACCCAGACAAGGTCCAAATGAGATCAGTTGCGCGCCCACCCTTATTCTTGAGTTAGAAGTGACATCATTACGTGGGCGCACTCGGAATCACCCACGCCCATGCATTTGCGCAGATACCACAAAGTGAAAAAGGGCCGAGTCTGAAGACACATGCGTATACATGCAGGCGTACGCGCACACCTTTGTCTGTGCGCTCTTGAAGACCAGCCTCCGTGTCAAGAAAGAGAAAAGCCATAACTCACAGGAGTGGCTCGATTTTGTTACTGCGTGAGTGTTGGCAAATTTGCGTCAGAGCTGTTATTAGCAGTTACCTCTGCCTCAGACACCCAACTAGCAGTGAAAAGACTGGAATGTCTGTGGTAGTTTGCACCCATGGCAACCCATGCAAACATTTGAAGTTTTCAAGCTCATCCTTCGTGTAGTAATTTAGACGTAGCGGTACGGCGGACAAAATGTTCCATTTGTTCATCCGCCCAGTCAGGTTGAAACTCATCCTGAGGGGATTCTTAAGTGGGATGACATTTTATTAAGTATCTGACCTTTTCGCTCAAGAGGAATGAAGCTTTAGTTAGTGAAAAATTAGCGGCTTCGCTCTGTGAAGTGGTTGAGATTAACAACTTGCCCTGGAATTGCTAAAAGTCTTCTTCAAATGTCACACTAACCCCATGGACCCTTCAGTAAAAAGTTGATTCATATTGCTATCTCTTAGGTTTTCAGTTCTATGCCCATTGCTGTCATGGGCCGGGTTTCCATCCAAAATTGCGAATTTAACTTGTGCGCAAAATTGAAATATCACATAAAACACCGTTTCCATCCGGCGAGTCAAAGAAAACTAAATCGTCACTAGGGATATGCCGGTATCAAATTTTCATGTTGCGATTAATTGCTCATTCTTTTATCACGGTATACGGTATTATCGCGGTATTGACATTTAGTTGCAAAAAAGTGTTGTCATAATACAGTATAACAGGTTTAATAATTTATATAACAAAAATAACTGAAATTTTAAATAGGCCTACAATAAAGCAATACACAAAAAAATTTATACATTTAAAAATTTTACACAGATTAAAGTGCAAAAGAATGATAAAGACCAATAGGTATCACTTTACAATAAGATGTCATCAGTTAACCTTAGGTAATGCATTAACATTCACAATGAGCAATACCTACATTTGCTACAGAAGTTATTAATCTTTGTTAAAAATACAACTCTTAGTTCATGTTAGCTCATTAAATAACACAGTTGCAACTTTTGATTTTAACAATGTGTTATTAAATATTGGAATTACCTAAGATTAATTAATGTTTTTAGAAGAATTTTTCATTGGCAGTTTGTTAACGAATGTCATATAATGAAGCCCTAATGTAAAGTGTGACCGAACAATAAAGAATCAAAACACTTTCAAAAAATATCTAGGGCGTGTTGTAGTCACTAATCTATATATAATGATCAGTGGTTGTAGTCCAGATTAAAATGTAAAAAAGTTTGAAAATAAAAAGTCTATTAAGTCTAAATATTTAAGTATTTGACGCTGTGATTAACACCATAGCGAATACAAAAATCTGAATGGCTATTTAAATCATTTAAATACATTTTAGAAACAGAAAGTAGAGCAGCTGTTTTGTTTATGTGGTTTCCGGGGTAACAGCTGCATTATGTTCAGCGCCATCTGCTGTCAGAGAGTGAATGTGCTTTCATTCAGAGCGTCTCTCACACGTTCTGCCATGCGCTTCTCATCCGTGCTTCCCTGTGTCCCAATGTGCATACTATCCACCCTATCTGTCCTAAATAGTAATGACAATTACTACTATCACATAGAATTTAGGATGGATAGTATGCACATTGGGACGCAGGCCTTGTTTACATCAGAGTGCGCATGCGTCTTTGACGCAGCATACAGCCATGTTGTGCATTGTGACCAGTTGATGGGAAAAGTATTCTTAAAATACATTAAAAATTCTGAATAATTTGTAATAAATAATTATTTTTATAATTATAATTCTCGGTATTTTGAAGTGCCCATGATAACAATATTGTGCATATTCATCATCGTGATATATCGCATTACCGAATACCGACACATGTCTAATCGTCACTTCCTAGTAAACTGGCACTATATATCACTTAGAAAAGTAGGAGAAGCCACTGAATATAATAATTTTCATATATAATAAATTACTTGCGCCTCAGAGCGAGCAGACGAAACAAAATAAATTGCTTTCGAAGGTGTATGCCTGCTGCTTGGGAACGCAGTCGTGTAACAGTTCTGGGAGGCAATTATACAGAAATATTTTGTTGACAGACTTTGCTTGGGCATTTCAAAATGACCATAACAACATTTCAGATGCTGTGGAACAGGATCGGTCCACTGGTTAATCAGGTTTTGATTAACCTAGCGCATAGCGCAAAGCCACATGACTTTTTTTGATGCGCATGGAAGAATTTACTCGACAAATGCGTTTCCATCTCCCATTATTCGCATTAACCCTTTTTCGCACAAGTCAAAACCACCTCAAGCAAGCATAAAAACTTTTTTGCAAATTAAGGGATTTTTATTCGAAATTTGGCATTTCTGATGCAATACTTCAAAATGTGCATAAAAACAGGGTGATGGAAACGGGTATGGAGGTATATTGTCATATATCGTCTTGTAATGTGATTTTTATATTTTTTTTTTGGTGTTAATTTGCAAAAAAGGCCTGCACACAATAAAGCTGCATTAAGACAAGTGGGAAAAGCAAGTGTGAAATAAAAAACCCACAGCTTTAATAGGGGAACGGCAAATGTTTCAGTCACAACATGATCATCTTCAAGGCCTGAAGACTTGCCTTTCACCTTCACAGTGTGTGGGGCTTTTTTGCAAATTGTCGCCTGTTTGGAGTTTTTGTGGAGTTTTTGGTGATTGCTTCATTTTTGTGGTGTTAAAATACTCGCTTGCCAGCTTAACATGTGAATGAAACTATGAGTCAGTGGGTTGATTCTTCAAAAAAGTCTGCAATAAGATTATTCTGTTTATTTGAGCAGAATTAGGCAACATTCAATAGCATACATTTGGGCAGGACTGTCTGTTTGTCCTGCTACCCCATGGACCCTTCAGTAAAAAGTTGATTCATATTGCTATCTCTTAGGTTTTCAGTTCTATGCCCATTGCTGTCATGGGCCGGGTTTCCATCCAAAATTGCGAATTTAACTTGTGCGCAAAATTGAAATATCACATAAAACACCGTTTCCATCCGGCGAGTCAAAGAAAACTAAATCGTCACTAGGGATATGCCGGTATCAAATTTTCATGTTGCGATTAATTGCTCATTCTTTTATCACGGTATACGGTATTATCGCGGTATTGACATTTAGTTGCAAAAAAGTGTTGTCATAATACAGTATAACAGGTTTAATAATTTATATAACAAAAATAACTGAAATTTTAAATAGGCCTACAATAAAGCAATACACAAAAAAATTTATACATTTAAAAATTTTACACAGATTAAAGTGCAAAAGAATGATAAAGACCAATAGGTATCACTTTACAATAAGATGTCATCAGTTAACCTTAGGTAATGCATTAACATTCACAATGAGCAATACCTACATTTGCTACAGAAGTTATTAATCTTTGTTAAAAATACAACTCTTAGTTCATGTTAGCTCATTAAATAACACAGTTGCAACTTTTGATTTTAACAATGTGTTATTAAATATTGGAATTACCTAAGATTAATTAATGTTTTTAGAAGAATTTTTCATTGGCAGTTTGTTAACGAATGTCATATAATGAAGCCCTAATGTAAAGTGTGACCGAACAATAAAGAATCAAAACACTTTCAAAAAATATCTAGGGCGTGTTGTAGTCACTAATCTATATATAATGATCAGTGGTTGTAGTCCAGATTAAAATGTAAAAAAGTTTGAAAATAAAAAGTCTATTAAGTCTAAATATTTAAGTATTTGACGCTGTGATTAACACCATAGCGAATACAAAAATCTGAATGGCTATTTAAATCATTTAAATACATTTTAGAAACAGAAAGTAGAGCAGCTGTTTTGTTTATGTGGTTTCCGGGGTAACAGCTGCATTATGTTCAGCGCCATCTGCTGTCAGAGAGTGAATGTGCTTTCATTCAGAGCGTCTCTCACACGTTCTGCCATGCGCTTCTCATCCGTGCTTCCCTGTGTCCCAATGTGCATACTATCCACCCTATCTGTCCTAAATAGTAATGACAATTACTACTATCACATAGAATTTAGGATGGATAGTATGCACATTGGGACGCAGGCCTTGTTTACATCAGAGTGCGCATGCGTCTTTGACGCAGCATACAGCCATGTTGTGCATTGTGACCAGTTGATGGGAAAAGTATTCTTAAAATACATTAAAAATTCTGAATAATTTGTAATAAATAATTATTTTTATAATTATAATTCTCGGTATTTTGAAGTGCCCATGATAACAATATTGTGCATATTCATCATCGTGATATATCGCATTACCGAATACCGACACATGTCTAATCGTCACTTCCTAGTAAACTGGCACTATATATCACTTAGAAAAGTAGGAGAAGCCACTGAATATAATAATTTTCATATATAATAAATTACTTGCGCCTCAGAGCGAGCAGACGAAACAAAATAAATTGCTTTCGAAGGTGTATGCCTGCTGCTTGGGAACGCAGTCGTGTAACAGTTCTGGGAGGCAATTATACAGAAATATTTTGTTGACAGACTTTGCTTGGGCATTTCAAAATGACCATAACAACATTTCAGATGCTGTGGAACAGGATCGGTCCACTGGTTAATCAGGTTTTGATTAACCTAGCGCATAGCGCAAAGCCACATGACTTTTTTTGATGCGCATGGAAGAATTTACTCGACAAATGCGTTTCCATCTCCCATTATTCGCATTAACCCTTTTTCGCACAAGTCAAAACCACCTCAAGCAAGCATAAAAACTTTTTTGCAAATTAAGGGATTTTTATTCGAAATTTGGCATTTCTGATGCAATACTTCAAAATGTGCATAAAAACAGGGTGATGGAAACGGGTATGGAGGTATATTGTCATATATCGTCTTGTAATGTGATTTTTATATTTTTTTTTTGGTGTTAATTTGCAAAAAAGGCCTGCACACAATAAAGCTGCATTAAGACAAGTGGGAAAAGCAAGTGTGAAATAAAAAACCCACAGCTTTAATAGGGGAACGGCAAATGTTTCAGTCACAACATGATCATCTTCAAGGCCTGAAGACTTGCCTTTCACCTTCACAGTGTGTGGGGCTTTTTTGCAAATTGTCGCCTGTTTGGAGTTTTTGTGGAGTTTTTGGTGATTGCTTCATTTTTGTGGTGTTAAAATACTCGCTTGCCAGCTTAACATGTGAATGAAACTATGAGTCAGTGGGTTGATTCTTCAAAAAAGTCTGCAATAAGATTATTCTGTTTATTTGAGCAGAATTAGGCAACATTCAATAGCATACATTTGGGCAGGACTGTCTGTTTGTCCTGCTGAAACAAGGCGCGGATGGAGGGAAACCGGTCTGAAACTCATTATTTTTGCAGAAATGGCAAACTTCATTTTGAAATTGACTGCCTCTGGAAGGGAATATCAATCGAATGTGTATCAATCTGCAGGAGGGCTGTTTTGACCTCCAGGAGGCGCTGCAGGCCATTCACATGCGCCAGGAGACCCTTAAGGAGCAGCTAGCCCACGCCAGATCTAAAGGAGAGGAGACGGTTGGGCGGAATATCCAGGTGACTGACTGCATTATGACAGTGTGTTTATTTGTGTGTGGGAGAGGAATGCTCTCAGGCGCCTCGCTGACTCCGTCTTCATGTCTGTCTACCACCACATGTCTCGCTCTGGTATCCTATCATGCAGGTTTTTGGGTCAGTAGCTGCAAGAGCTTCACCTGTCCTCCTGACCATGACCTACTTTTTGGTCAACTGGTCTAATATATAAACAATTAATGGTTGGATATTTGTGTAAGAGATGTGCTGATGAACTGATGAAACTGATGAAAAAGACCTCTGTAAGGAAGTGCTGTCATTCTCAGTGCTTTTTGCTGAATGTTGTTGTTCTACAGAAAAAATGACCAATATCTTAAATATCTCAGTTGTTTTTGTGAGTCCAAGTCACCTCTTTGTCCAAGCCACTATTTGAGGCCCTTAAGCAGATATGTAACCTCTGGTAATTCTGTTGTAATAAAATAAATAAACCCCCCAAAAAATGTATCTAAAATTATATATGATAAATTATTTATTTAAATTATATAAATTAAATACAAATATATTTATATAAATTAAAATAATACAAATATAAAATATATTCAGTATAACATTTTAATAGCTAATGTTTTTTAATTAGCCTTTTAATCATGATTAAATTAATATAACTACCTTTTGAGAACCAGTGACATGAAATGGAGAACAAAAGGAAACTTTTAGGTCTCAAGATTCTCAGATTTTTTCTTAAGATAATTAAAAATGTGCTTAGATTTGTCAACATGTGCAATTAATGATTTAAGATTTTAATACTAACTTAAAATATGCAATATTTTTCAAAGATAAAATCATGCAAATATGTTTGGCTCTTCAAAATTCTGCCCTGCACTAACAGCACTTGACCTTGACAAAAATGACTGTAAAAGAAGACTGTTTATGCTAATATCTGCTATAGCGCCTCTAGTGGCAACAGTGACAATGCACTGCATACTTGTGTTGCATTATGAATTGATTTTTTACACACTTTGCATGCAATGATGCTTACATTGCTACATGGTTTTCATCTGCTTTCCATACTTTTTGCCAACAGTTGTCTCATTTGTGTCTTTTCCTTCGTATCTAAGACAAAGTTTATACTTGTCTCCATTATGTCTCGTAAGCTGCATTTAAGAGCATTTAAAACATATTCTGGGCTGTCTTTTCTCTTTTCAATAGATAGATTGACAGAATGCATTGTCTCAGAAACATCAGTTAATTATGCTGCTTTTGTGTTGTGAAGTGGAAACGTGTCATTTTGTAACTGTGAATAGCATCTTCCTGTGTTAAAAAAAGCGGTAAAAGTTTGCCTCTTTTTAGGTAGGATGCCGTTGCACATGTAGGAGGGGTGCTATTGGAATCAATCAAGCTCCACACACAGTGTGGTTTTAATAATAATCAGAGAAATGTACAGAGAAAACATTAATATAAGCATAACTAAGTATTTATAGTAATTGTAAACACCGTTTCATATTCAAATGTGATTGAGGAGCCTTCAAATTACCAGATATTTGAACTGTAGGAGTTTGTTTATGGTTAGTTTTGTTTTGTATCACTACACTTGCGGTATGTTGTGAATGGTGAATATTGGAAATAATTTCTGTCACACTGTACGTATGATGCGAGACACATCCGCCTGTCTGACTCCCTGCTGTCTGTGCATATTATAGGTTCAGCTGGAGCGTCTGTTGGCCAAGCAGATGGAGATACTGCATGACGCCGCGGCGCAGGACAGACTGCAGGCTCTAGAGTGGAGGGTTCCACCAGGGCCCTACAAACACAGCACAGACAGGCAGAACAGCAACGGGATCTCCGCTGACAAAAACGCTGACCAGCAGGGTGAGTTTGTGCATTATAAAATTTGAGATGATGGGTTATTTGTCATGTGATGGATGCCTTTATCTAAAGCAACGAGCTGTGCAGCAATTGCAAGAACAATATTTATGAGTTAATGTGTGGACTTAAGATCAAGGTAATATGTTTGACTTTTTTTTTGTTACATTCACCAAATTTGATAATATAACCATTTCATTTTCTTGTCTAGAGACTCAGATAATTGCACTAGAGCACTAGATTTTAATATTAAGGAAACAAAAACAAGTATGCATATATTTTAGTGCTGTCAAATAATTAATCGCGATTAATCGCATCCAAAATAACGTTTTTGTTTACATAATAAATACACACAGTACACATACATATATTATGTATATATAAATACACACACATACAATAAATATTTTGAAAATATTTACATGTGTATATATTTATATTCTTATATTTTATATTATATATAAATATATTTAACATAACACATTTTTTTTAAATATATACATGCATGTGTTTGTATTTATATGCATAATAAATATACACAGTATACACACTTATATTATGTAAACAAACTTTTATTTTGGATGCGATTAATCGCGATTAATCGTATGACAGCACTAATATATTTATAAAGAATAAAAGTGTTAATCTCAGATTTCAACTTAATAAATACTTTATATAATAATAATAATAGTAATATTAGCAAATAGTTTTGCACAATTAGAATATAAATGTAAATTATTTCATTTTGGAAAGAATTACTTAATTTTATAATGATAGTAGTAATAATACCATCATTATTTTTTTTTTACATATTTATTTATTTATTTATTTAGTCATTTAGCAGACACTTTTATCCAAAGCGACTTACAAATGAGGATATATATTTATATTCTTATATTTTATATTATATATAAATATATTTAACATAACACATTTTTTTTAAATATATACATGCATGTGTTTGTATTTATATGCATAATAAATATACACAGTATACACACTTATATTATGTAAACAAACTTTTATTTTGGATGCGATTAATCGCGATTAATCGTATGACAGCACTAATATATTTATAAAGAATAAAAGTGTTAATCTCAGATTTCAACTTAATAAATAGTAATATTATCAAACATCAAATTATGATATTTATCATATTTATATAATGTATTAATTTTATTATTTATTATTATTGTATATAAATACATTTATATGTTTACTTTTATATCTATAAATACATATATATGTATACATATGTATGTGTGTGTATATATATATATATATATATATGTATGTATATATATATATTAA